GTTTGTTTGTTTGTTTGTTTGTTTGTTTGTTTGTTTGTTTGTTTGTTTGTTTGTTTGTTTGTTTGTTTGTACATGAGCTTTGATTTGATAAGTATCTGAGGCTGAGACCACAGGACGGTGAAATCATGATTATTGGGCTTCACTTCTGTACTGAACAGTCATTTTAAGATTAGCTCGTAAATAACAATTAGCTAATGTTGTTCATGAGACTTTGGTAATGTAAATATAATATGGACAATATTAAAGTCATTATTTCAATCATTATTAGTTATTAAAGCAGTGAAAGAATTCTGTTTCAAATACTGAGCTTCAGTAAAGATTCAAGCTGCATTTATTTGTATTTGCTGTCACCCTAAATCTTCACTCAAAGACAGGTTTCTTTGACACTGTATATATAACTGTGTTATATATAAGAGACAAATATTGTTCTTTTAATATGTTGGTATTACTCAATTTGTCTCAGTGTTTACTTTAACCTCCTAGGACCTGGCGTCCACATATGTGGACATCACATTTTCGGTTATTTAGACCAAAATACTCAATTCTGCTCTACAAGGGCCTGATATCTGCTTACGAGGACATTATACTGCTACTGTTCTATCAAAATTTTAAATGAATATCCTCATATGTAGCTCTTATTTTTCTTAAAAACAAAAATAAGATAAAAAAAAAAATCTGGTAATTCTTTGTTTTTCATTCATCGGGCCTCAATACGCCCAAATATCAAAGAGAAATTAAAAATGCATGTCATGGAAGAGTTCGGGTCTTAGGAGGTTAAATATCCATAAAATCATCACATTCTCTTTAGGATTAAGCTCAGCTATTGAACGGCGTATATTTTAAAGTAAAGGCTTTAAAACCAAGTTAGTACAAATGTCACTGATGTCACATAAGTTTGCCGACATGTGGCCAACAGTAATCTTTTAATGTTCTTCATTATTAAACATTTGCACATAAATAAGTGACATAATATTCAGTACTTACTTTTAAAAGTTTACTCTTCGGGCGCCCCTCTTCCGCCGTTTTTTTTTCTGGCAAAATTATCCACACCCACCGCCGCACTATGCATTCTGGGATATGTTGGGCCACGAAGTCTACACCGCCACATCCTTAAAATTCAGGGAAATGAAGGACGCATTTGAGGGCCGCATTTCGAGCAGCCTTTGAATTGGTACAGCCTTCGTCGCGTCACTATGACGTAATCGGCCTTAAAAGTGGCCTTTAAGGCTGCAGACCCTGAATTGGGATACAGCCACAGTGTGACTGCATTGGCAGAGGTGTAGCGCACATGTGCATGCAGGTTACCTGAGTTTTTGCATATATCAAATGACACATCTGTAGTGGCATCAACATTAGTTTCACTTGCAGAAAGTCGTCTGTGCACAGCTTCATCCTGACTCTCACTGCCTCCATTTAAACTATGCATGTTCCTCTCTTCCTCACTTACTGTATGGTGGTTCTTAACAAGTAAATAAAAAACTTTGTTTTCATAATATTTCAGAATAAGAGCCCAGTTAAGAAAAAAAGTGCTTTTAATTTGAAACGGTTACAGGAAAACCTGAGGTCAAGTCAAATGGCTTTATTGTTATTTCAACCATGTTCAGTGCTACAGTACACAGTGAAGCGAGACAGCGTTCCTCCAGGATCATGGTGCAATGACATATATGACATGACATATAAAAGACAATCAGCACAGGACTACATATTTTAATTCAATTCAATTTTATTTATTCGAATTGAATAGTTGAATGTGCATCAATGACAGCTGGTTGTGCATGTTTGTGTATATGAGATTGTGCAGATAAGTGTGTGTGTCAGTCCAGTCACTGAGTGGTCAGTAGTCTGACGTTTGGGGGAAGAAACTTTCGCAGTCTGGCAGTGAGGGCCTGAATGCTCCGGTACGTCTGTGCCAGAAGGCCAAATTGTAGCCGGAGTAAAATACGAGCGCTCACAGGCTCTGCAGTAGCTGTCTCAGTTTCTGACCACCCTTTGGAACACAAATTTGCGTGCTAAGCTAAACGGATCACTTGTTCCTCTCTATTCTTACTCATGTGACTGATACTGATACTCAGTGTATTGGCAGTTGCTTCCTATTGCTGCTCAACAGTTTGTATATGTTACCTTACAGTGGCCTCAGTGAGAGGCTGCTATGTGTATACGTATCATTTAGGACCCAGAAATGAAATGTTTCAATGATTTGTAATTTCTGACCACGTTATCACAGCTTTCTTTTTGCAAACTGTTTGTTAACACTTAACAAAGACAGTGAACATGAGGCTGCTGACTTCATCTCCTGCTGTGGAACTTCACAGTTTATGTGAATGAATTGTGGTTTTAAAGTTCTGCTGCTTATTGGGAAATAATGTTCTCTTCCTCTTGAATGTAGCAGAGGACCAACCCACTGGGCCTCTCAGTTTCAGAGAGAGACTGTTTGTTATCAGAGTAAGTACACCGTTTACTTGTTTGATCTGAAACTGTTCAGCCAAACTGTTACTGAACTTGATTTCTGTGAGCAGGGCTTGTGGAGGTTTGTGCTTCTACTGGGAGTGGTCTACTTAACCGAGTATTTCATCAACCAGGGTTTGGTGAGTCCTCTGATGCCCTCTAGCAGCACGCTCAGCTCACTGCATGCTGTTAGTGAAACTTGGCTCTGATTTTGTGTGATGTTGTGAGAATATTGAACCAGGAATATTTTTTCCCTCTCTGTAAGATGGAACTCCTGTTCTTCCACAATATTTTCCTGACCCATGCAGCTCAGTATCGCTGGTCAGTGATCCATTACAGAGAGTATTCAGTATGAATGACTTCATGCAGATTGTTTGGGGTGTGCAGCTCTACTTGTTTCTTGTTTGCATCCTCAGGTATCAGACTCTGTACCAGCTTGGTGTACTGCTCTCTCGATCCTCTCTGCACTGTGTGAAGATCAGGAGAGTGTGGATTCTCAGTGGTCTGCAGGTGAGAAATGAGAATAAAATACAAATCAGCACCAGAGGGATGTCTGGGTTAAGCTAGGCTCCCTTTTTTTGGTAGAGGAGCTTAACCTGCAACTTTATTCTGACTGGCTCCTCATTACAAACAATAGATTTGAACATCAGTATTTTTTGCTGCTTGTGTGTATCTGTGTGTACGTAGTGCATATAAAATGTTGTGCACAAATCCATAATTGGTCCATTAGGCAGTAGGTGAAGCTGCATTAGTGCATAGAAGTGTTAGGAGCAGCCAATAACAAAACGGCGCAGCAGCTGTCCTCAAAAAATTACAACCACACAATGATCCTCATCTAGTAATATTTACAAGGAAACGTTCATACTATTTACACAGTGACCCTGTGTAAATTTCCAGGTGAAACAGAGAAAGTGCTGATGATGTTGTATAAGAGAGAAGCCTGCACCTCTAAGGCAAGAAATTTGGAGAAAATCTGACTGTAGAAAAAGAAAGAAGCCAGGAGAGGTGTGGCTTTGCAGAGTGTCTCAACAACTGTTTAGGACAAAGTGACACTCAGGCTGAAATAATAGGAGAGCTGAATAAATGATTTTTTTCCATCAAACATTGCATAGTTTATGTTTTGTTTTCAGGTGACTGAATAATTTGTGTTGCTTTGTGATGCAGATAACTATAGTACATGCATATGGGGTTGTTAAATGTGTGTGAATGTATACTTTACAGACACTGCTGTGTTTCTCAGAGCTGCTTCTCTCTCCTCTCCACAGACGCTGAACGCTGTGTTTCTTCTGTTAGCTGTACGTTACCTGTTCCTGCACACTGTTTGGTTGGTGTTCGCTTTTATCCTCTATGAGGGTCTCCTGGGTGGAGCAGCATATGTCAACACCTTCCACTTCATCAGCAAGGAGGTAAAGGACAGCTTCAGAGAACCATTCATATAGTTTAGACTCTGGAGTATTCTAGACAGTTCTGACTTTAGGAATCTGGATAATTCCATATTTTCTGTTCTTCGACCTCTGTGCAAAGCTGCATTTCATTTTTTATCCATTCACGGATACATACACACTCTGCAAATGTCACAATGATTATTTTAGGAGATTCGGGAGATCAGTACAGAAGCAGCTGTGCACTGTTGAGCTGTTTTTACTCCACAGTAAGCATGCATCTACCTCAGAGTGTCTTCTCTTTTCTCCTACAGACTGAAGACAGACACAGGGAGTTCTCCATGGCTGCTGCCAGCATTGGAGACAGCCTGGGCATAACTGTGGCTGGACTCATATCTCTTCCTGTCCACACTTACTTCTGTTCATTATAACCAAGCCCACACACTGACCAGCACGATGAGTAAGCAAAACGTGGGTGCGTTCGATTTTTAAATCCGAACTGGGTTAGAGACAAAAAGCAGACATTACATAAAAATATCAATATAAAGTCTTTGACTCCACATCCTGTACTTGCTGCATATTTATAGATAACAGCAAGTGAACTATATAGAAAGTCCAGAGTCCACAAAAGTGTTTTTTACCTTCAGCCAGAGATCAAATAATATCAATAACATCCTACCTACGATCACAGAAGGTAAACCTGAAACAGATCAGTGAAACCGATAGGCCAGAAAATATTGTCTTGTTTTGATGAACAGTTTCTTTGTGGTTTTCCTTCATGAAAAACCTTCCAGTGGTTCACAGAACAAAAGCTTTCAATGTGAAACAAGATCGGGATATATTTCAATTTGACATAATGAATAAAAGAAATATAAATGCAATACATTTTAAAGTCACAGAAGAGGAGATGTCATTTCAGTAAGTTTACTGTGTTTTAATTGTGGTAACTAAAGAGTCATCTTTAAGTATAAAGTATCTCTGAGCTGTGACCAGGCAGCCAGTATCGTGTAGGAAATCCCTCCACACCAACCTTCAACGCTAAGATTTACCTTAAAATCTAAACTGTTATTCTACTGACCTTCATTTTAACATTAACTCCTCAAACTGAACTCTGGGTTCAGAAACAGTTCTATGAATGTCTACTCAGCTAGGATGTGCCATTACTATTTTCAAACTATTTTAAAAGTCAGAGAGCTCAGTCATTGAATGCTGCAATTAAATTTTTGGGAGGTGAAATTATAAAACTATTGCTTTCAGGGGGCAAAGAAAGCTCAGTAGGTAGAGTGGTTGCCCCATGATCGGAAGGTTGGGGGTTTGAATCCACTGAACAGCTACCCTGACCAAGGTACTGCTCCCTGGGCACTAGATTGGTGGCTGCCCACTGCTTCACTGAGTGAATGGGTTAAATGAGAGGAATTTTCCCACGGTGATCAATAAAATATACATTATTATTATTATTTGAAGAAACTGTGAGTAAATATAATGCTGAAGCCTGATGGCTCTCACTAAGTGCCTTCTATAATAAGTGCCTTCTATAGTTAAGAGTTTAATTCATGTTAATAAATAGCAGAGATTATTTTTGTATTTCAGTTGTAGTCAAACGTTTGCAAACACTCATCGTAGAAATGAATCTGAAATTTGGGATTTTCATTATTTTTTTGACATGACTATAGGTGACTTCAATCTTACTGAAAGATTGTGGACTATGCGTAAAATCCAGCTTGGTACCAGGAAACCAAGAGAAGAATAATGGTCAAATATAACGTCAGAATCATGCCTGATTGAGGTGGAAATTTTTCCAAAATAAATTCAACCATGTGCATCCAATTCTCATTTTCAAAGTCTTTTGTTTTTGCAGATGCTGTAAAATCATTCCTCTCTGGGAAGAAAACAATTCAAAGAAATGATTAAAGTCCAAAATTACCATGACATTCATGTCCATGATGAGTGTATGTAACAAAGCGAGCAAAAATGCCTTCTATTATAGTTTTTAATACCAGGAGAGCATTCGGAGCTTTAAAATGCCACTTCTTTCAGATTTGTACAAAAACAATGTCACACACAGATTTGTTTTTGTGATGTTTATCGTGTGCAACTTGACATAATTTTGCTTAGCTGTGGCTTCTCTGATTCTAATGAAAGACTGCTTGTTAAACTGTGGCACAGTTAGTCACTGCAGGTGGAGCACAGAACACCTGGGAATGGCTGAGATGTGAAACAAAGTTGATTTTAATATTTTTGTTGTAAAATAAAGAAAATAGAGGTTGCTCATGCCGTCATGCTGACATGTATTTTACTAAAATTCTTGGAAGCACTTTTGTCATTTTTTGTAACATTGTGGGCTGTTGAATTTGTTTTCTTTTCTTGGAACGCAGTTTATGTCCTTAAATACTTGATTCATGTGTCCTGTTTTCTCCTGAACACTCAAACGCAGACCAACAGTCCTACTGACATTCTAATGACCACATAAAGCTAATGCTAATGCTTAACTGGAAGAACCTTGTTACAACATAATATTGTTTTTTAATCTTCTGCTTGCTTCAAATCAAATTTTACAGGAAATCAGAAATGAGGTTCACTTTGACTTTGTTAGCTTGCCAGTTAGCTACAAACATGTGGTTGTCCTTTCTTGCGCAGAGAGCCGTGATATTTCTAATTGTACCGATTTTTTTCTTTGATATAAAGTGTATGTGTCATAAACTGGAATGTGTCGTGCTTTATTACTTATAGTGATGTAAGATAACATAGGTTGGTCTTTAACTGGGGTGTTTCGTGAACCATTTATTAACCTAATATTTAATTCAAAATTATTTAGGGAAAAAAGTAAGGTTGCTATAGTCAGCAATCAGTCAGTCAGTGGAGAATTTATACTGTGGTATCCCAAAGCTATAGGTGATGTTTCTAAGCCAAAATGAATTAAAATGTATAAATATAGGTTACTGTTCCATAGCACACATTTTTCTTGTTAAACTTCTACTTGAACTACATTGCATTTCATAGTGGAGCACAGAACATGACACAAAAACTTTAATTCTTTATAATTAAATTAAAAGGGTATATTCTACCTTCATTACAAGTCAAATATTTCAGTAGTTCAATATTTTCTTGATTTTAATGATAATGGTTTAGCTGGTGATAATCAGAAATCCTGAATCAAAATATTAGAATATCTCTTCCAGTTTCAGACAGCAGCAAGAGGGGATCGGACAGCCGAGGCCTGCCTTTGACCTCGGCTCAGTCCACCCTGAACCTGCTTGCTTATTGTGGGGCCATAGGGAGGCTCAAAATTAAATACTGTATTTCTGACTTTATTTAGTGTCCTTAAACTTGATCAAAATTGTAAGAAAGGGTTTTGAAATACTTTTCATACAATAAATATCGAGTTTATTTTTTTAAATTAATCACTTAAAAAAAGAAAACAAAAGTAAACTTTTCATGATATTCAGTATTTGTTATGGACTAGTAAGCGATCTGTAAATTACCACTACAGTGAATGTCGGGTTGAGTAGACTGAGTAGTGCGCTTCCTATACCGGAAGTTACAGCCGACAGTGTTCACGAGCACGGCAGGCGTAAACCGGCAAAGACGAGACCGGGGGAAGAAGAGGGGCCAGTGAGTGAGCCGACGCTCCATGGACTGAAATATATTAACGTTGGTTCTTTTCGTTTGCTCGCTGCTTTTGGTTATTCGAGTTGAGCCGTTTTTAAATAGTGTTATTCGCGTTAGCTAGTTTACTGGCGACATTAGCAGTAACCAGCGTTGACGCCGAAAACCAAGTAAGTTAGCCCAGGTCGGCATCGATTAGCCCGCTAACATGCAACATTTCAACTACGCTTAACACATTGCTTTTATTTTGTTTTTTTCTGGCACATAGATTATCTGTAGTTTGTTGGTATCGACTGTCAGACATTTTTGTGAAGCATCTGTTCAAATTCCCAAACAAAATGGTTGGCTAAGTTATCAAAGAATCAGTTGTTCGCTGACGTCGTTAGCTGTGATGTAAGCTAGCGTGCTAATATTAGCTTACTGCTACGCCCCGAGGCCTTACATTCCCTAACGAATAACATCAGTTTTCTGTGGGAGACTACTTTTATGTTAGGTGTGAACAAACTAGTCGTATGACTTTCACAGTGGTGTGTTAAATTGGCGTTTAGTTAGGGATTTCTATGTACGACCGGGTCTTATCTATCATACAGCAGACATTACCTAAACTGGATTATCCGCCTACCAGGTTGTTATTGCGATGTTTAGCTCGGAATTACTTCGGTTGAATAACCTAATTTATGTTTTTTGTCTGCAGTTCGTCACTCCGACCATCGTCGTAGCAATACCCTGACGTTTAAGAGCTGAAGCCCCCCGGCTGCTTTCGAGGAAGTTTTTGTTTGGGCTGTTCGCTCTCGGAGCCACATATTTAAGCGAGCCCAGTGTGCGAGAAGAGGAGTGTGTGCCTGGTGTGTGAGCAGCTCTCCCTATGTGTGTGACAATGGGGGACATCAGTGACCTGGACCGACAGATAGAGCAGCTCAGACGCTGTGAGCTCATCAAGGAAAATGAAGTCAAAGCACTGTGTGCCAAAGCTAGGTAAGCATCCGTGTGCTTGGACCAACAGTACTTTTATTTAATCAATTATACACTCTCGATTCAAGGCAGAAAACTGTTTAGCTGTTGTCTTATTTCTGAATACTTAAAGAACGGGAAGGATTGCGAATTAAACCTACTTTAAGAGGGGTGATATTTAGTAGAGCTTAAATATATTTATATGTAATGTTCAAAAGTAATGCGGCAGCCTCTTTGTCTTAACTATATGCAGACCAATGGCTGTTTCGGCAAAGGGGTCACTACATGGGTGAGCTCCGCATGTTTGATTTGGCACAGTTTTACAGATGCCAAAAATTGATTAACTAGACTAGCCAGACCTGCATCAGACGCTGACCAGTTACAGCTGAGAATTTTAAAGAAAATATATTTATCTATTAACGACATATAACAGGAATAGTTTACGAGTTGTTAAAACTTAAACCCTCTGGTGACTGTTAAATGTCTATGCACTGTGCATATAAACATGCTACTGGGTATGTTGGGTAGACCTTGATCATGCAGTTTCTATACACAAATGCACAGTAAACAAAATAATATTTTTTATTTAAAGTTAATATTTTAATCAATCACCATATAAATGTTACGAATCCCACTGTCGCCAAGTGCTTGCTCATAGAGGCCCATTTGATTGTTTTCTCTGGGGATCTGACAGGATCTTTACTGTATAAAGCACTTTGAGGCCAGTGTTGTTGCTATACAAATAGAATTGAATTGAATTTTAGGACTAGGTTGTTTATAGACTAAATTTAATCAAGATTGAAGATCTTGGAGGAGTCCAGGAAAAAAAATATATACGCAAAGGTATGCTACGATCATTATAGGATAAGGCGCAAGACCAATCACAGGCCTATTGTGAACTAGGAAGAACTGGGATAAGTCTACTGGATGCAAACTGCCATACAGACTCATTAAATGGAGCCTTATCCTGACTGACCTTTGTTAGCCAATCAGCTGCTCCTGGATATTATTAAATAATCAAGTAACTCAGATAAGGATGATGGAGAAACAATTTAAGCAATCTGATCTTAATTTGAAATGATTATTGTGGTTGGTGGGGGAGTGAAGGTTCCCCCCCCCCCCGGATCTGTCACTGGGCTTCAAAAAGTCGATCTGTTTAGTTTGGATATTTTTCAAGTTGCAGTTACATCACCTGT